GTGCGGCTGGCGGTCGGGAAGACAGCAAGTCGGCGGACAGTTCAAAGGGTCAGACTGGCGAGGAGACTGAGGCCGAGATGAAACTTGTCGCCGAGACAGACTCGTTTCGCCCGATCACCGGCATCGATGGAAACCTGAACGACCTGCTGGACGCCTCGAATGTCCGACTGGAGGGTGCATCTTTGCAAGCATTTTTGAATCGGCCTCACATGAACTATCCACATTCCAATTGTTTTCCCTTTCCTCTGACCTTTTTCAGTCCATCTTAAAGCTGAGTCCCGATAAAGCATTTTCGGGTGAAAGAATTCACTGAAAATGCATTCGAGAAGCCTATCTCCGCTTCAACCGTCACGTGGCAGACTGACTTGGAGTATCCAAGCCGTCGAAACTAGGCTGAGCTTACTTCCATTTCGAGCGAAAGTTTTCGGTAAAGAGATTCGAAGGTTGATCCTACCAGACGACGACGACGGATTTCTCTTGACCAGCTGTCGATTGGCTTACAGAGTTTTCTTGGCTCGTCAGCTTGAATATGGTTGTAAGGGTGATGACACAATCTGCTCTGATAATTTCCGTCACACGATGGAAGCAATCTTAACACGTTTCCACCGGAATCGAAGAAGATTGTTTCATAAACAGAGTCAACATAAAATGCTTCAATAAAGCCCATCCACAGCTGATCCAGCGGGATCCGCCGGTGAGCGTCTTCTGGTGAGATTGGCATTGGAATCTCTTCACCAAACACTTTCCCTCGAAATGGATGTGTCTTCTCGCAGTTCCGGGCAGTTGCTTTTTAGAATGAAAGCATTCCAGCGGCCACTTGGCCGTCTCGGGTCTGACGAGCCTTCGGCGACAAGGTGAAACCAAGACTTGGCTTGATCTGTGGACTTCACGTCTTCTCCCAGTTACTCGTCCTGGATCGGCTGGCCATTTTGAATAATGACTAACTCACCATTAGGCGACTCGATTAAAGTGACTTTCAGGGCAGACGCCTAAGGGGATGAGACATTTTTGCAACTTGGTCATGTAGTCAAGGCGACCTAGTTTGACGCGACAACACGACGCAGTTGAGAAAACGGGGTCAAACAACTTGCATAAAAATGAATGAGACTGCGACCAAAAAAGAGTTAAAACATTTCATATATACGTTTAAGAGGGTTAGTTGCAATTTGCCACAATGACTATCTAATCCACGATGGACTGCAATTTCGACTACACCAAAACTGGCCCTATCAACAGCTCCAGTGG